GTAAAGTCCTGTTTTGACCATGAACCACATCCACATTCATTCTTGAGCAAGCTTTTGAAGCACACAATTCTGACTGGCTAATCATTGTAGAAGTCACTGAAAGTATTGGTCAACCAGTTTTTCTGAAGTTTGTATGTTCTAAAATGAGATTAAGGAAACAAGAAAAGAGAGAAAAGCTTTTGATGCTGATGAGTTAACTCATATAAATTTGTAAATTGTTACATCGTAGATAATGACAAATTACAACTGCTGTTTTTCTAGACTTGGTAGAGACACTCTGCTTTTACAAAAAACAGGCTGGGAAAATTTTTCCCTCCATTGTCAGAGCTGTTATAAAAACTGACGGGTCACAACTCAAAATAATTTTTAAAAACTTACTTACCTTAATCTTTCGAATGAGTCTGTTGTCCTCATCGTCCTCCGTGTCTGGGAATTCATAAATTTTAATTTTGTGCTCCTGGATCTCTTTCATTATCTAGAGGAGAGAGAAAAAAAACAAACAAAGATTAGCATTAAACCAACACTGTAAATAAAATCATTTAAGTATGCAGCTCAAATTTAGTCTCACTTGTTATAAAATACACATTTTCATGAGAGGGGCTTTAAAATGAGTTATCTGTGTCAGATTATATATAATAAGTTGGTTTTGTGAGCCCACTGTCGACTGTCTTAACATGAACTTCAGAAAGCAAAATAAGAAAGGAAAAGAAAAGCTTTAGATCAAATATTAAAATAGGCGAATTAAAAAGGCTTATTTTCCAGACAMATAGTTACATTCTATACCACAATCAGGTATTTATGTTAACTTCAGTTGTTATGAAAAAGCTAAATATATCAAAAATAAATTTGACTTTGCATCATAGCCTACTGAAGTGCCTTGAAATTGGCCTCCGTCTCTTTCAGAACCCCTTACTGTTCCCAACGCTCCATTAGCTGCCTTCAAAAGACCAACAGCACCTTCTGTTGGTGTAGAGTCAGCAGACTGCTGACTCAGCAGTTAGAATCAGACACACTAATTAGATGTAAAGTGGTTGGATGTCACTTTTCTTTTTCCTGAAATCCACAACAAGCTCCTTGGTCTTAGTTATGTTTAGGAGCAAACTGTTGTCTGTGCAGCACACTGTCAGCTGCTCCCCTTCATCTCTGTAGGATGTTTGGCCACCTCCAGAGATGTGTCACAGCCAAAGGTTTGTTTGAAATCTGACCTGTGTCAATCAGAGTCCTCAGTKAAAACAGACTGAGGGTCAATGTTAAACAGATATATAAAGAACTTTATAAAAAGAAACATATCTTAAGAGTGAATAACATTACTCATTCAATTTATGAACAGGGTTGCACATAAAACTTTTGGTCTGGTTCTCAGGAGAGAACCTAGGGTTGTTGCTTGGTGCTCATATTTTCATTCACTCATTTAACACATTTACCTAAAGGGGTGTCAGAGCATTTATTATCACCCTGTTCTGTTTTATGACACCTTCTATCTGCTGGCAATGTCTCGGGACATCATGCCAAATCAGAGCTTTTTATTTTTTATTTTTTACTCTGCATACATTTTGTAAACTATCTAAGTGGCCAATGGGCTGACCCATGGGCATATGTCATCTCAAACTGAACATTTCATGTTTAAATGTCTGTTAGATTACACATGACCCTGCCTTGTTAAAACCAGCTTTCCACACTCTCCAGACCAAGCAGCAAATATCTGTCTTTTGCACAGAACAACTGTTTTATTTGTTAGACTGATTTCATTTTTTAAAGTCTATTTTATACAAAAAATATTATATTTAGATGGTTTCAACTCATGTAATCATTTAAAATTATTTTTCTTTGTATTTTATCATTTATTGAATTACATTAATTCCAGAGCAGCTGTGTCACAGTAYGATTCTAAATATAAACATGTTTAGCACATCAACAACCTTGTTCTTATCATAACATTGTGAAGAATGAAATTTGTGGATCTTTCTGATAAATTAAAATGACATTTAAAACTCATTCACCTAGAGAACAGGGCAAGTTTTTATTTATTTATTTATTTTTTGATGGGGGGGGTGTGATGTTAAACAGAGACTCATCTTTGCTTTGATATGGGGCAAATAAATCTTCTTCTGTTAGAGGTAATATGGTTTGGAAGAACTCGAACAGTGAATCTCACAGAAAGACTCACAGCCTGCGAGCGCTGAGGCGCGTTCCTGTCTCTCAGGAGGAGAGTTTAGTCACTGATGCAAAGTTGGACAGATCTGTTTGATAACAATGCTCTGAACATATATTTAATATAAAGTTAGGATTTAGAGACCAAACTCTCTGGTAGTTCAGGAGCAAAGTGCAGGAGATGTCAGGACTGRTYGCTGCAGCCGCCGTTTCCACTGTCTCTGCTGAAAACAGCTCTCACTGAAAGTCCCGCCCTGCTCTGCTCTGATTGGATAAAACAGCTCTGGAGTTCGTCTAATTCGCTGAAAGCAGTGTCCGTTTAATCCTTGTACATCAGGATCCCTCTGCCCTCCTCTGACAGAACGACGATCCTGTCACACAAGTGAGGCTGGATTTTTTTTTGTTTTGTTTTTGTTTGTTTTTAAGTAATCAGGTCACATCTGCGACCCTGCTAGCTGTTGTTTTCACAATCTCAGGTACAATCTTAGGTATGCAAGGGAGCTTTATGACATTCCATCTGGTGCGCTTTTTCTTTTTTCATCGTGCATGTGCACCTGCGCACCACTTATGTGCAACTCTGTTTATAAACACAATTTTATAAGTATTTTAGACTAGGTAGTTGTTGCCTACCATCAGAATATAAATTTTGAAAAGTATTTTAAACTAAAATTCAGTTCTGTTTTTGTTATACACGGCAAAATTATTCAAGTTAGTTC